TAGACATATATGGTATCGATTATGAATGATACTATATAGATAACATGTCAGTTATCTATGGTTGGCCAACTCTTGAACATATGCTAGCCACCTTGACAGCGAATGATGGCTTGAAATCGTTCCTTAGGAGAAGTCCTTGGCAATGCGAGCGGAATTCGAGGAGCTCGAGGGGAAGCGACGCAAACTGGCCGCGAATTTGGAAGAGCTTGAGGCGGCCGACCCGAACAAGATCAAGCAACAGAGTGAACTCGAGAACTCAGTACGTTGGTGGTCGACATACGTTTTATTAGTTGAGGAGATGCGGCGATCCCGGGATCTCGTAGATATATGGACTGACAATATCAGTACTGTGAGACAGTATGTGTGCACAGTCCACTGAAGCAGCATCTACGACCGATTCGCTAAGGTTCATCGCGTCGCGGGGGAATATGAGTGAAGAAGAAGTTGACAAGGAATTCGGGATTGACCCTAGTATATTCGATTGAATGACTTCACCAACATTCTACTAGCGCCGACGGTCACCTTGTGGCCTCGAAGCATAGTTGCTCTGTTTACAGTATAGGCTAGTCGTTGTGCGAATGATAATAACTTGAATCTGCCTTTAACGGTTGCTAGCTACGTTGCATTCTGTCACTGACCGCTTCGCATCGCTTAATGAGCCGTAGTCTTGGGCATCCTCCCAACTACCGACCTGCTTCAAGCCGACTGATGGGTGAAGACAGAACAGGGGGTCTTGCATGCGAGCAGGTGACGAGGGCGATGTCAGTTGATTCACACTGGGTTCACTACGAGCCACCGCTCGGCTTGCTGGAAGGCTTGGTTTCAGATCGCCATTTTGAACCAGCAGGGCATCCGCAGACTCCGAGAGGGATCCCTGGCGTCCTGCCTCGGCCATTTGGAAGAGGCGGAGAGTCTCGCAATCATTGTGGCTGACAAGAGCTTACAAGCTGCGACCTTGAACAACAAGGCATCTTACTATAGGGAAACCAACAAGCCTCATACGGCCATGAAGTCCTCTATCACTGTCGACTCCGTATAAGTGCTACTGGTTCGCGCTCAGATGTTTGATCGACGCTTTACGCCTAGAGATGGCCTTCCAGGGCCCGGCTGCTGATTTAGCTGTGGCGGGGACACATTTGAACATCTCCTCGGTACTCAGCAGCTTGGGAAGATACCACCAAGCTCTGCGACATGCCCAGGGGGCCTTGAAACTCCTCAACGCACTGTAGGATTGTTCACACACTCTACAGGCGTTGTCGCTTTTACACATACATGATAGATGAGGCGCCCACATTGTCCTGAGAACGCGGATCATTTTAGACGCGCTCACAGCGGGGCGCGTCGCTCGAAGGATGAGCAAATCGTTTTGCTCACCACCACGGTGACAGCCATGCACAGTGTTGGTGCTCAACTGGAACATCTCAACAGGAGGAGAGAAGCCTTTGCTGCCTACCGGAGGGGTCTTCGTGTAGGTCAGCATAATACTACCAGTGCCGAGCTCCTCGTGGCCTGTTATCCTCAGCACGCCGTGGAGCATCTCCCTCCTCATGCTGATATCGTACAGGCCCTTACTGAGGCTTGTGAACAGCTGTCAGGGCAGGAAGGTTTGAGGACTCGTATGCACAGCAATTCTACGACTAACGCTTCGCCCGCCGTCTCCTTGGGTGCGCCACTAACGACGACCCGTAGCGCCCTTCGTGCTCCGCTGTCTCAAACGCGAGATGAATCGGATGGGCTAGGTCTACATAGTAGGAGTTCGCAAAATCTACCTCCCTTCGTTTTCAATAGCGGAGCTCGATCCAAATCTTGTGAAGGGAAGCGAGAGCTGCCTCCCTTGGTGTTCACCGGGGAGCATCCCCCCCGACCAGCGGGCCAGGGTGGGTATTCGCCTCATCCCAATCTCGTATTAAGAGATGATGACATCACTCACGCCATAACGCTCATCCAACGGGCATTCCGGAAGTTCGCTCAGCGAACAGATCTGATGCGGCCAGAGTAAGGCCGGCTCTGCTCCTGAGAGTAGAAGCAGCTCCTACTGAATGTCTCTAGCTGTTGCGGCGCATACTCGCGGTACTTCAGGTTTCGAACATCGCACGAGCCTCGTATCGTGACGAATTACGGATTAAAAAGTGCAAATAATGAATACAGCCAGGTAGGAGTACTTTCTTCATCTTGAAACACCAATCGCTCTCGAGTGAGCTCCTGCTTCTAAGCATACTACGAACTGACTATTTCATGCACGGTGCGTTGCCCACTCTAGCAGCTCATTTCGTGCAGGGTATTCATGAGGCTGAGCTATGGGAACAAGGAGCGTCTTTACTCAGCCCGACGGACCACAGCGCAGCCTTCGAAGCAAATGGTGTTGGCGGGTGTTTTTAGCCTACTCTATACCCGTGAGTAGATACAGTGCATACCGCACTCCTTCCAATAGACGAGTATCTTGAGGGTGATGAACTCTTCTTTCCTCGTGATGTTAAAGACACCGATTGGGGTTGTTGACTGAGACCTTGTGATGCGGAGCATCTTGCTTACACTTCCCTGTCTCTCTTTTCCACCAACACCGTCTTCGTTACCGTTGCTGGGCAGCGCCAAGTTGAAATGCATGAGCACTCTGTTCGGCCTAGCTCGCTCGATTCTGACTATGGATCAAGAGAGAGCGCCCGCCGACGATTGCCCGCCATCCGAGGCCACCGAGCGAGTCGTTGGAGACAGTAGCAGCTCGAACGTGCCCGTGGAAGATGCCGATGACTCCTCTGCCTTCTTGACTGGCGTTAACCTTGAGAGGGAGCGCCGGGGGTCGCAGGGCGATGATGACCAGCAAGAGGCTCCAGCGATTGAGAATATGACCTCAGTCCTTGCGAGCATTCCGGTTGCAGGCCCCAGGGGTAGGAGTTCACTTGCACGCCGATATAGCATGCTTGCCAGTACTGGGCCTCTTTGAACAACTGAATAACTTGGCCGAAACACTGCCAGAGAAAGTCGCGCAGTTGATAGACAAGCACGAGCATGACTTCATGCTGTCTTATAAATCACATATGTAGCCGTACTGGGGACGCTCAATCCGATTGCGATGGTAGGTCCACCGTTCAGCAGAATTTCCAAGAATGGAAATTGAAGGCGGAGACGGAGGATGATAAAGTGCGTCGAGACAAGAGGGTGAAGGAACTTGAGGGAGAGCTCAAGTGGTTCATGTCTGAAGCACTCAGATTGGAAGCTCTTTCTAAAGACTACCACAAGGAGGTGATGGCCCGTCTTTTTCCGCCTGGCGTGGCAATCGGTGTGGTTAGGTTGGTACTTGGAAAACGCGTCTGAATACTATGCGTGAAGAGAGGAGGTATTTGGAGGACCAGATGAAGGCCTCTAAGAGACAGACTAAGGTTGAGAGAATTCAACGTAGGTACATCGCGCCGGTGCTCAGGTCCTCAGGGCGATGCTGGAGAGGACGAGAGCGACAGGCCCCCGCGAAAATCCCGTGCCCGATCTGGGCGACACTCTAGGTATGGTTCCGCTATGGGAAATTATGCACATGGTGACAATTTGAAAAAATTCTGAGGAAATTTTGATCGGTTTCTGAACACTTCTTCCCGAATTCGTGTGTAAACTTGTATGATTAGTGAGGAAACTCTTGAGCTCTCCTGAGGAAACCAAACAAATATTCCAACAGGAGTTTCATCCGTGATATGAAAAACACTAGTGAGAAACATATTTAACGACTAAGATACTGCATACCGCGAATATCGCGTTCTTTGCCGAGTTTTACGCCACTTCGCGTAAAACGGGTGAGACCCCACTGCTCTAAGGAATCATATATATCATGAGATCATACTGCAGTTCGGAAGGGCGATCTGTGGACAGGTGCTGATAGACGACTCCAGAACGTCACTGCTATGGGAGGCGTTGGCCCGATGGTTGATGTGGCGCGTGGGTCTGAAGGGCATTCCGTACATGACGAGCAGCGTTAATCTCGTTAGTATCCCCTCTGGAGGAGGAATATCTCACTAAGACCAAAGATTTAGAGAAGGAGCTCGAGGGGTTGAGACGGACCAACGAGGAGTTGCAGGAAATAGCCAACCGTCGACATGTTCGCCGAGCTGAGCTTGAGGAGTACTTCCTTGCTTGTATTGAGGGAGCTCGCAAGGTGCCGCCACTCGGGGACCTATGGCTGTCCATGTTCCCTAGCGCTGGTTCCAATGCATGATCGATGCGGAACCTCAGGACGCCTTGAGACGGAAGTACACCGGACAAGAGTCAGCCGCTGATACACAACAAGGGATTATTGACTCGCTGGTCACAAGCGAAGAAGTGTGCCCAGTCATACGCGCAACTCTATGGTGGTGTACATAGGTATTAGTGTTCCTGTATAAGAAACTCTTCCCTCACAGAGCATCCGCCATCACAGCAGCTAGGAAAGGTCATTTCAGCACGAACTCGGCAGCTGAGAAGCTGTTCAGGTCGACCCGAGGTCTGACGAATCACTCCGCATAGTCGTAGTGTTCTATCGATGCTTCAGGCCAAAGCTCGGAATGGAGAGCCGCGGTCAGTCGAGCTCTCGCGTCTGGTGTTGGTCATAGTCCTTCATGAAAATTAGAGAAAAGCCTTATCGTTCTGACGAAGTGTCTTCTGTTGACCGTGAAATGGGGTGGGAACCTATTCTGCTAAGGTGCCCACCTCTGAATGACCGGTTCGGCCAACTACCCTCGTTCTGCTGTGCCGAGTGCTGGACCACAGTCTCGTCCAGCGCTTATCCCTCTGCCAGGGGTTGCTGTCAAGACCGCCTGCACATTACATCAGTAGGTTTCGTGTACCCCCGAGTGTGTGCGAGCGGTGGAAGGTGACGCACTAGGAGCTTATAGGCTGGTGCTTGTAACAAGCTCCGCTGGTTCTCGTGTAGCAAGAATAAGCAGCTTGTTTGTTCTCTTGCTAGTGACTCGGTCTCGCTAGGTCAGTCAGTTGTCCGTCTTGGAATGCTCGGTTCAGGCGTCCCAACACTACTACGAAGATGTTTGTCAATATATGTGGGCATCCCCTGGTCGAGGGGCCTCTATTGCCTAGTGGAGCAAGAGCTGATGGACATCTGGTTGACAAAATGGGGATTAGGAATATGCAGGTGGAGACTGCTATGTGTGACAGTCCTCGGAATGTTTCGGACTAGGTGCCGGTCGATGTTGGCAGCTTCCGAAGAGTTTTCGACAGATCTGGGAGTACTTGTGTGGCTATTGACGTCGTCTTTGCACCCTGGCTAGTCTCCAAACTCGCGGACTGCGTGCCGACGATTCTGCGTGGAGAGAAGGTAGCTCGGTCCTCTTTGCGAGCCTCTGGCTTCCATGTGGACTTATTGTGAGCAGCCGCACCGTATCAGGTCGACGCTACACGGCAGTCCTTGATTCTGGACCTCGTGATAGTGGCGCTGAGGAATGTCCAGAACTATGCCAAGCCAGTTAAGGAAGTTCATATCAAGGGATGGAAGTAGCCGAGTGATCGACTTCTGGCTTCGGTCATGTGTTGATGTATTAGATTCCTGAACGCATCTTACAAGTTTCTCGACGAACAAACGAACAAGCCCGTTGATTTCGTACCAGCGGATGAGCAGGCCGAAGATGCCGAAGAGGTAAAGGAAACTCCAGAAGTTGAACACGAGGCGGATGCCCGAGGAGCTAAGCTCATCGAGGTTGGTATCAATCTGGACTAGAGTGTCTGATCGTATTGCGAAGAAACGAAACAGTGAGTTGCTCACTGTGAGCATTACTTGCCGAGGAATACGCTTCTGGGCTAAAGTCTCTCTCATGGTGTGGAGACGGATGAGTGGAGCTCCTAAACGCAGGCGTTTGGGTCGCAAGAAAGCTACGCTATAGGTTGAGAAGGAGCTCGGAGAAGCCGCTTAACTATGGCTTTGCACTTGCCGGACAAATGATGGTTGACTTGGCACATTTTGAATATATGAAATAGTCATGGTCTGGAGACGGCTTGACGGGGCTTCCACCCGCGGACCTAAAAGCCGCGGACCTTAAAGCCGCGGACCTAAAACCGCGGACCTAAAACCGCGGACCTGAATAAGATTAAGGTCCGCGGTGTCGCAAGAAGGCTACATTATATGCCCAAAGGGAGCTCGGAGAGGCACTAGAAGTAGGGATTCACAACCCTTGGACAAATACTTGTGACGCAACACGTTTAATTGTACGAAATGGTCGATGCAGGGCTCGAACCTGCGACCCTCGCGTTATTAGCACGATGCTCTAACCGACTGAGCTAAACGACCGCTTGTATCATCAGTCGCTCACTCACTCATTTTCATGCAAATAGATCTGTATATGTTGTTCCAGGTTGTGAGCGACTCTGGCGTGCCTGCCAGGAAGGCTCGAGGCGCTCTCAAACCTGGTTTTTTGAAGAATACTAAGGGGGCAATCTACGGTGAACGTGGAAGCACTGAAGGGGTTCTACCGGAGAATGCTGGCGACCCTATGGGATGGCTACCGAAGAAGTTGAGACAATCCTGCAAGATTGTTGATAGTACGTGGGCCCTAACTCTCCCTCCGTGCGCATATGACATTCTTTACTCGATTCCCAATCCTCTTATTGAGACGATCCTAGGAGAAAGATTTGTCTAGATTCGTTCTTGTTCGTTTGCAGCGGCCTCAACTCAACAGAACACTCCGGCGGCGGTGCCTCAAGAGCACCAGAAAATGCAAAAAGAGCTCGCGGAGATTTTCGATAGACAGTCGTACAACTCAATGTGGGCGGAAGATGTACCACAGAAGAACGTTGAACAGAAGGTGAGGTTAGGAACCTTATCGGAGAATCATCCTCGCTCGCACTACCAGTGGTTGACCCCAGGGGGTTGCTCTTCGTTTTCTTTTTCCAGGAGGAGCCACAAGTGAGCATGGAGACTAAGAACGGCCAGCTGGTGTGCACAATTGCACCCAGCACTACGCATCCTGATCCCTCGAGCCTCGATATTGAGCTGTGCTCTCAAATGATTCGTGTTGATGGGCGAGAACTGCCGATACCAGCCACTGTGGATGAAACCAAGGCCAAGGCTAGGTACAGCAAGAAGCGAAACATGATTACTGTCACTGCGCCAGTTGTGTGACCATTCTCTTATGGGGAGATAGAGTCGAGTTACTAGTAGGCTTCACGCCGATCGGATAGTTTCGATGCCGTTGAGGGTGTGGGACCCATTCGCTCAGCTGTCCCTTGTTGATCCGTTTGCATGCCTCGTGAAGTGGTGACCATCCAGGTCGGTCAGTGCGGGAATCAAATCGGCTGGAGATTCTGGGACTTGGTCATTCGAGAGCATTCGGCCGAAGCCCGCCGGCGGCAGGCTCAGGGACAAGCTATCGTGTAAGGTCTTGCACTATGTCAATGTCTGGGAACACCTCCTCAGATACGATGATTGTATCTCAACATTTTTCCGCAACCTCGATGCAAATGGCGCCGACATACCAACAGGGTGCGAAAGTCCTCTCGAAAATATGCGTGCAAGGGCTATATTGGTCGATATGGAGCAGGGTGTCATAAATCAGGTCAGGCCACTCCTCCTTAGGGGTAAGCCAGTTGAGCATCCCAGGTCTTGAACAGTAAAATCGGCAGTCTTTTCCGCGACCCTAAGCGACCCAACGACTGCCGACTACAGCAGTGCGTGACTGATGTCTCGGGCGCTGGCAATAACTGGGCTCACGGCTACTACGGGTGAGTACTAGTGATGCAGTGCTTCAATTTCATCAGCTGATAAGATACGGCGAGACTTATGGAGGCTCCGTGATGGAGAAGGTCCGATTTGCAGTGGAGGCATGTGATAGCCTTCAAGCCTTCTTCTGTGTGAACTCCCTCGGTGGGGGCACCGGTAGCGGGTTGGGCTCCTACATACTCGAGAGGCTTGAGGACGAGTGAGTTTCTCATGCCTTCTTATCAAGCATAACCGCGTGGACAGGTACGGGTCGAAGGCCTACCGCTTCGTGTCGGCCCTCTTCCCGACGATAGATGCCGAGGATGATGTCATCACCTCACCGTACAATGCGATATTGTCTCTGACGAAACTCAGGGAAAACGCAAGCTGTGTTTTACCCATAAGTGAGTGCTCATCGCCACTCGCGGCAAATCTCAAAGTAGGTAACGATGCACTTGCTCGTATCGTGAACACTTACAACGCCTCTGCTGCACTGGTCAATGGAGCCACACAGAAGGGCGGGGGAGGGATGTTCTCCAAGAAGCAAACTTCCTTCGACGACATGAACTCGATCGTGGCTAGGTGAGTATCTGCGGATGGTCCACCCTAGCATGTGGTCTGCAGGTGTTGGTTGGACTTAACGGCATCGATGAGATTCGAAGGCTCCCTCAATGTTGATCTCAATGAGATAACCTCCAACCTAGTGCCCTTCCCCAACACGCACTTCTTGCTTCCCGCACTGAGTCCGATCTTCCAACGGTAACGGGAGGAGATGGAGGGTTTGCCTCCCCCAGCTGTCGGGGTCTGTGTTAGGTCGAAGGATGTACGTCTACAACCTCGCAGTTTCGATCATATGTTCTCGGACGCCTTCCTGCCCGGATCACAGCTTGTTGGATCCGGTGCCGGCGTGGACCCGAGAGCTTCTCTTTCCCTAGCCTCAGCCTTCCTCCTCAGAGGTGTGTTTAATGCGGGTCTCATAAACTACGCTCCGCTGCTCAGGTGAATGCTCTTTGAACGACGTTAACCGTAATGTGAGCCGGATCAAGAAGACTCTGAATCGACCTGCTTACCTTGACGACTGCTATAAGATCGGTATTTGCAACGTGTTGCCCACATCCATCAGCACAGCTGCTGGGAGAGGCCGCAACAGCGCATTTCCGTACGGCATGTGCTTCCTGGTTGGTTATACGACGACCTTGCCTTCAGGTACTCGCTGTTGTCTCTGGTGAATAGCTGTGGTATCCGACCCGTGTTCGAGAAGATGCACGCGAATTTCTGGCGATTATATAAACGGAAAGCACACGTTCACCACTACACCGAGTATGCATCCTCACTCTAGTCTCGTGTGTGATTCCTACCAGGTACATGGATCAAGACGTGTTTGAAGAAGCACGCCACACTTTACGTTTCATGATGGACGATTATACGGAGGAAAAGTATACCGACTCTTCGGTTCGCGCTGAAGCCATTCAGAATACCACTCTTAAAGGGATTCGGAGAGAGTTCGCATTTGGACGATTATTGCCACGCATGCTCGTATAGTACAGTTCTCACAAGAAAATGATCTGAGCTGTTTCGTTGTTGATGGCTTTATACCTTTCTCCATCACAAGGGCTAGTCTCAGATAGTGTGTAAGAGATCGGCATCAGGAACACCTTAACCGAAACGAGGAATTCCAATTTAGACACTTCTCATCATTCGAGACTGGTCATTTTGGTTGTCAGAATAGCGTCACTCGACACACAACGCGCGCTGTGATTGTGAGCAAGGAAAGAAACCACTATGAAAACAGTGTTTACGAGAAGGAACAGGAAGACACACTTTACAGCTCATCAGGAGAGTCGTAGTCATCGTCATCGTCATCTTCTTCATCAGCGGCACCAGCGTTGTAGTACTTGGAAACGATAGGTGCACAGACACTCTCGACTTCCTTCTGCTGATCCTTGATCTCATCAGGCTCCGCAGTCTCACCGTTAGCCTGGAGCCACTCCTCACCATCACTAACAGCATCGAGGACCTCGTTCTTCTCATCCTCGTCCATCTTATCACCGAGACCCTTGAAGGAGCCACTGCCCTCGACCGCAGACCTCATAGCACGCAAGTAGCCATCGAAAGCGTTTTTGGCATCCAAACGCTCCTTCACCTTCTTATCCTCTTCAGCGTACTTTTCGGCATCCTTGATCATAGACTCGATCTCATCCTCGCTGAGACGACCCTTATCGTTAGTAATGGTAATCTTTTCAGATTTTCCAGTGCCCTTATCCTCAGCCTTAACATTGAGAATACCATTAGCGTCTATCTCGAAGGTAACTTCGATCTGAGGCTGTCCCCGGGGAGCCGGAGGGATTCCCGACAGCTCGAACTTGCCTAGCTGATGGTTATCCTTGGTAAGAGGACGCTCACCCTCGAAGACTTGGATGCTCACAGCGGGCTGATTGTCCTGGTAAGTGGAGAAGGTCTGGGACTTCTTGGTCGGGATAACAGTGTTACGACCGATGATCTTGGTCATGACACCGCCAACAGTCTCGATACCAAGAGTGAGAGGAGTGACATCCAGCAATAGAAGATCCTGACCAGCCTCACCCTTCAAGATACCACCCTGGACTGAGGCACCATAGGCAACAGCCTCATCAGGGTTGATGCCGCGGTTGGGCTCCTTGCCATTGAAGTAGTCCTTGATCAAGGATTGGATCTTGGGGATACGAGTAGACCCACCGACAAGAACAACCTCATCGATATCGCCCTTGCTCATACCGGCATCGGAAAGGACTGTCTTTACAGGACCCAAAGTATTCTTGAACAAATCGGCATTGAGCTCCTCGAAGCGAGCACGAGATAGAGTCTCAGAGAAATCAATGCCGTCCATGATATTCTCGATCTCAATGCGAACCTGGTGAGTGGAGGAGAGAGCACGCTTGCCCTTCTCGACCTCACGACGAAGCTTCGCCAAGGCACGCTTGTCAGTGCGAAGATCCTTGTAATTCTTCTTTTGGAAAAGCTTGATAAAATGATCCATAACACGCTGATCGAAATCCTCACCACCAAGATGAGTATCACCAGCAGTAGCAACCACCTCGAATACGCCATTATCAATAGTCAGCAGTGACACATCGAAAGTACCACCACCAAGATCATACACAAGAATGTTCTCCTCATTCTTCTTATCAAGCCCGTAAGCGATAGCTGCAGCCGTGGGCTCGTTGATGATACGGAGGACGTTCAAACCAGCGATGGTACCGGCATCTTTAGTAGCTTGTCTTTGAGCATCATTGAAGTAAGCTGGTACGGTGATAACAGCATTCTTAACCTCGCTGCCCAGGTAGTTCTCGGCAGTCTCCTTCATCTTCCCCAATACCATAGCAGAGATCTCCTCAGGATTGAAGTACTTCTCCTCACCCTTGTTCTCGACCTCAATAATAGGCTTGTCGTTCTTGTTGGTGATCTTATACGGTAGCAACTTCTTATCCTTTTGAACAGTCTTGTCGTTGAAACGACGACCGATGAGCCTCTTAACATCAAACACGGTGTTGTGAGGGTTCACAGCAGCTTCGTTCTTAGCAGCTTCGCCAACGAAGCGCTCATCCTCCGAAAAGGAGACGTATGAGGGGGTAATACGGTTACCCTGATCGTTGGGGATGATCTCGACACGGCCGTTCTTGTAGACTCCTACACAGGAGTAAGTAGTACCCAGATCAATACCAACTACGGGGCCGTCGATGTTTTCACTGCTGTCCTTGGCCCCTAGGACAGAGGTTGCCACTAAGGCAAGCGCAGGTAAAAGGAACTTCATTGATACAATCAATGTTGCGAAGTGTAGAATAGCTTGAGATTGGGGCCAGCTTCGACAGTTGCGCGCGCCATACTAATCGATATTGAGCCTCCAAACTGTGTCCGTTCGTGAACCAGTATGCTTGCATGCCTTTACCCGTAGAGATAACCGGGAACTAGCTGATCTGGAAATATTCCATCATCATCATCATCATATTTCCTCCTGGGAAAATGGAATTCGTGTGGAGGGTTTGTATTGCTGTTGCTTGAGCGACAGCAATTTCTATCCTGCATACTCAGTCTGCAGCCAATGCTACTCTGACCTACTTTATAGTGCCAAAGAATTGTGACACTTGCTGACCATCCTCTCGACATCACGTTCAAGCACGGGATGGAGGTCTTGGAGGCGTTCTTCCTTCTCTGTTGTACTCAGTACCACAGTTGCAGTTCCTGTATGAATTCACTGTTCTAGTTGTTTCATATAGCGTGTCTTGATACACCAACAACTGCTTCTAGGTTTCACCTCCAACAGCTCGGTATGACGTCCTCGGGTAAGCATCTTGTCCTCGTCTACCGCTGCGCCACGAAATTAGGATTAGTAGGAGTATTGGTACTGACTTTCAGAGGACCGTATAATGATGTACTACATTAATTTGATCGCCGAGTCCGAGAAGCGGGAAAAGGAACTGCAGCGCTCCGAGGAGGACCGTCGAAGGCTACGTGTTGGCAACCCTCCAGGAATCGATGACCGGTAGGTTACTCGAGCTAAGGCACGCTTAGCGGGTTTTGTAGGTTGGCTGGTCTGCAGAAGGCTCGACATGAGCACACTAAGAAGAAGAAAAAGAAGAGGACTTCGTCCCCCTCGGAGGTTAAATCCAAGAAGGCTAAGCGGAAACGTCCTCGGGAGCAGCCCGAGGCGTCTCCAGCTCCCTCGAGTTCATCGGGCCTTGTCGGCTTGGCGGCCGATGTGGTTGATGATGAGGAGCTGCTTATAGAGCGAAGGTAGTGTGTGCCTGCTTGCTTTTTCACTGAGTGCAAGTCAGGTCCACTCGGAATAAATTCGCCATTGATGACTCCCCCAGCTTAGAGGAAGAACTCCATCCTAAGATTGTCACAATATCATCTGGGAAGCTCCGTGATGACCGCCGACCATCGTAGTACGGGTTGTATCTCCTCTCGGGAGGTCTCGAGTGTTTTGACTTGTATTGATTATGGTATTTTAGAAAGCAGAGGAAAGAGAAAAAGGTGAAGTCAAGTGCATCGCGTGGACGCCCTCGAGAAGTAGTATACTCTAGCTGCTCTGTCCTTGTCTTCATATTGGTCATTTTTCAGCCTTCTGGTGATAGCAGCGCCGACGGCGACCCCGGTGGGAGGAGGCGTAGACGGCTCCGTATTCAATCAGCGTCGAATAGTGATGCTGAGGACGATGAGGGTACCCGAAAAAGAAGGCGCGATTCGGTACAGTTGCGGTCACAAACCTTATTGATATGCTTCCTTTTAGATGGAGGATGAGGATATACCAGACTGGGCCCTTGAAGGAGCAATTCGTCGTAGCTCACGGATACGAGAAGCTCGAGAAAGCTCTGTAATATCCGACAGCAGTGCAGCAGGCAATGAAACTCGGACTCGACGGAAGCGGGGACGACCTAAGAAGAGCAGCTCGGGAAGAACTAAGATGTCGTCCTCAAAGAAGAGCCAGCCTCGTAAGAGTGCGACACGCGGCGTTGGTGGGCCGAAAAGTACTGCAAGGAAAAGTGCTGGTGGGACACGACGGGTAGTTGAAGTTTATAGTGGTCGGCCGAGGAAGACTGGCGACTTCAAAATTGAAGTTCGTACGGTTGCTCCTCGGAACAGCGATATAGGTTTCTTAAGAATGGAGATAGATCCTAAAGCGGGGTGGTCTCGATCGGGCATCTGGCGTCGTAGGATCGGTCTTGAAAAAATCCCAATCTTTCCACCATTACCTTTGCAGCCTCGTTGTAGAGATAGTTTTATTTGACAGTACTCAGTTGTGAAGTGCTTGAGGATCTCCTTTCTTCCTCGTATATTTCTGTACATGGTCGTTGTTTAGTACCCGGTACATTAGCCTCCTATTTCGGTCGGTACTAACGTTGTGTATAATTGCCATAATTTTCCGTGTGTACCATAATTTTCTCCAAAGTATCATCATCAAGAGTCTGGCCTTGTTGAGTTGAAGTGTGTGGAGCTCCTGTATGAACGCTCATTGGATCGACTCGCTGGGGAAGACTGTAGTTCAGAAGACACCGACGATTTTATGAGGAACCTCCAGGCTTGGAAACGCTCCAGGAATCGAAAATACTCGAAGTCAGTGAGGGCTACTCAACTGTTGCGAAACACCGTGTTTGAGCGATGGGGCAGTTGAAGTCCCATGGGCACAAGGAAAGGCTAAGTTTTCCGATATACCTCCTGCTATGGGGATGATGGGAAACAGCGCAAGTAGTGATTACGGTGAGATGCATGGGACATGGTGGTGGGGTCCGATAGTTATCGAGGGAGGCTGTGAGCGTGGCGTTTGGTCCAGGGTTCAAAGGAAGTCCCGGATGGAACCAGTCGGTTGATTGGGTATCGCAGAAATCGCTACGACAGCGAGAAAAATAACAGCGCAGTACCTTTCCTGGGGCGTTTGAAGAGCATCGTGCAGATGGGGTATGCAGAGCCTTCGGAACATAGCTTGCCACCTCGGAAGAGGGATCGTTGTCGCAGAGTCAATCTTGCAATCTTTTCACTTGAGCCTCAGCGGATAAGTAGCTATCATCACCATCATCATCGGCAGCAGAACTCCTCCACAACCCGTTGTTTCCTCCTCTGTGAGGGTATCGTATGTGGGGCTGGCAATATCAACTGCTTTCCAGTAGTGACCTTGGACGTCAATGTCGGAGTCTGAGTGGCAATAGTCGCTCTACCAACAACTGAAGTTGTTCTCCAGGACGCGAGTCGGGAAATAAAAAGGGGAGATTCAAACTAAGGCAACAACTCAATATCATTCCTACTCAGCTGAGCTTATTGGACCACTCTACCTTCGTGACACACAAGCATGCATTTTAAACTGTTGATATCCTCACAGCCGCGGGAGCAGCATCTTCAGCCTTTAACTGCTTTTAAGTATCACAAAATGGGGATGTAGTATAGCTAATACTGTTATGACTCAGTAACGCGAAGTAGGTCGATGATGGCGGCTCTCAACCACAGTAAGTAGTAGAGCAACAGAACGATGGTAAAAAGGAGACGGGTCTTAAGGCAAATCACCGTGTCTCGTCTCGTATGGGGAGCGACTATCAATGAAGGTGAATCGCGGGTGCCCGAGGATGAACTACGGAACAGCCAGAACGCCGAACTAGCGGACAGTTACATGCGGTTCGGCACAATACTATGTACCATTGTTCCGCCCGTCTATGTGCGGGCTCTGTTCATTTGTTTGACTGGTTAAGGCTGTTGATGAACGTCTCACTTGTGACTCGTACAATCTACCATGCCAAAAGTGTGTAATTCTGTTTCCACAAAACAACGGGGATGCTGGTATTGGATAACGATCGACCTACCTAACGCAAAGCCGATTCCTCTCGAACATTCTCCAAGTAAAATGGTCCATGCAGCCGAAGGGGGATCATACAGCCTAGCTGTCCCTCCATAAATTTCCACCGTAAAGCAGCGCCTTCTCTTCACGCAGCCACTCAGCGAACCAGGTCTAGTCCAGTGAGGCAAAATGAATATGAAAACTCGCATAGACAGGACGATGATCGGAAGACTTGACGTTCGGTATGGAGTCGTACACGTGGCAGACTATTTTATGACGCGAGTCAGCGTCACTGCGCCACAAAATTCGATCGGTCCACGACGGTATTCGTTGCTTGGAACTCGTATCGTACCTGGTGAAGAAATTGTAGCATCGGAAGTCCCCAAGATTCACTCACTCATTTGATCCCAGATCGAATTTGTACGTTGGCGGGAATAATATCGGCGCTTCATCCCATTCACTCCACGGTGGCGCTCTGTTCCATCGGTGGTGTGTCTCCACCAAAGAATCTTCTGATGCTTGCGACTCGTCATCGGACCGCAGTAGTTGCCTGGTCAATTGGCATCGCTTGTGTAGTAGCTCATCAAAGCGTCCCATAGCGAGCAATCGATCGCAGTATGCCCGATTGCTACTTTTAACTCTAAAGTTGAGGTCACCGAAAAGGAAGGTCGGCCCCCGTAGGTCGTGGTGCTTGCCTTTGTCTCGCCTACGGTAGAGCCTCTTGAACCGTCGCAACACCCCAACGTGGTGTCTTCGCTTAGTGAGCTGATGATGCACAGCTCGGTGATGATGATGCTGATCGTTGGATGTGTGCTGGCGTATGCAGAGATGTTTGAGAAGTCGGCTTGTTGTGAGTATTCGCTCATAGTCCTGGTTCCTCCTTCTTGAGTTGCGCGCATGTGCCGCAAGATGGCATTGAATAAACGTTAGGCTCACTTCGGACGGATCAGAACTGCTAGACCCCCGACGGTGTTTCCGTTTCGACTCTACTCTTTTCGAATCGTGGTGGTCCTGTGCTCGAGCGGTGAAGATGAGTTTGACAACTACGCCACCTTTGTTACCGACGACGTTGCCGGCACCGGTCGGCACGGTATCAGTCTTAACCGCGATCAGATGATAGGGCATATCTATACGAGTAAAGACCACCAATAGAATGCCTTGTAGTTGGCGATACGCTGCCACAGTGAACTGGTCGGCACCAAGTCGCTGGTGGACGTCAGCGATCCAGTTCTGGCTGAGAACCTGCAATTCGATCTTCTGACACAAAGCAGTTAATGCTCACTCGAAGGCTCTTGGTGTTGATGAGGGTCTTCTCGAGCGACATGCCGAATTCGCTGAGACCGAAAGCGACAACATCGGAGGGCACCGGAGGGAGGAGTCGATCGAGGTCTTCGTCAGGAGGGACCGTACCACAGCTGTTGAAGGCGCAGATGTGAACCTAGGGGGGAATGAGTTTTTGGACATTCGAAACTATGGGTACTGTAATGGGTGAAGACTGTGATGGAGCTCGAGGGGTTTCGAAAATCTGAGAAATATTTTTCAAAAGAATTCGAGACAAA